AGAAGGTAGAGAAGGTAAAGCGAGTTTGCTTTCACTAGTGAAGACTTTCGATTCGGTTCTGGCTGCTTATGAAGGCTTCTGCAACCTGAAACAGGTATGTTTAAAATTCTCTCATGATTCTTATATCTGCTTAGTTGGAAATGAAATTCGATTCTAGCACTAAATCTACATCAATTATAATTTACAGTGGAGCGAGTATTTTCTAAATTGTTATCTGAGTTTTACTGTTGTCTTTTCTATCCAATTTCTTGGATTCTAGCTCTAAATTTAGAACACTTATAATTTACAAGGTCTAAGTATTTCTAAATTCTTATCTGAGTTTTACTCGTCTCTTATCTAATTTCTTCATACCATGTATGATTGCATACAAATTCATTTGCAGCAGTTTTGTCAACTTTTTCTTCGTTTTCAAAGAAGGCATGCTAAATTTCATGAATTTATCAGGTGGATCTGAAGCTTAAGGTCTGTAGAGGATCACCAGTTCGTAAAGTCCTAGCTCAGGAAGTAAAATCATGTGGAGCAACGAGTTTAATTGTCGGATCTTCTGTAGCAAATCACACAATTCGATCCAGGACATCAGTTGCAAAGTATTGTGCAAAGAATCTCCAAAAAAACATCTCAGTTATCTCTGTTAATAATGGCAAGATCATGTTCCAAAGAGAAGCAACAACTTTGGCAGGCCCAGAGTCAAAATCCAAACAGAGGAAAACTATGGGAAAAAGTCCTTTGAGTTTACCACCTGAGAGAGTTTTGTCATCATCTAGAAGTGAAAATGAGCACGATTCCATGGCGTTGGTTCCCTTCAAGACTCGGGAAATGCCCGAGTCAAGGTCTGGATGGACACTCCTCCGAAGGGTCTTTTTCCATAATGGAAAAGTACCGGAAACTCCTTCTCCTAAGAAGTCATCTGTAATGCAATGGATGTTGAAACTACCAAGCCGTCAATCTGTAACTGCTATTTATCCTGATCAAAAACATATTAATGCGTCAAGTAAGGATGAGCGTCATTGTACGGATTTGGACACAGAAAAGGGTGCAATTATACCGTATGTGGCTGGCAATACTTCTGCATCTGATTTTTCTAAAACTGCTTCTAGAGAACTTGAATTTCTTGTGCAGAAGTACTCGTCAA